ACAACTAACTAGCTAAGCCATTGTCATAATATAGGTCAAGAAGATTAGAACAAAGACTGATGATGATGATGATGATGATGATGATGACGATGATGACGATGATGAGGCTCCTTAAAGACCGCCCATTATGCAATTTTCCCTGACACCATCTACAACAGGTACACCCTACTACATCCTGACACCATCTACAACACCTGACAACATCTACAACACCCTGACAACATCTACAACACCACAGCATCAACACCCACAACATACAACACCCATCTAACAAACCCTACACATCTACAACCCGACACCACTACAACACCAAACCCACAACACCCGACACCCCCACAACCCTGCACCATCTCCCACCACAACACCCTGACACACCACCACAACACCCTGACACCATCTACAACACCTGACACCATCTACAACACTCTGACACCATCTACAACACTCATACACATACAACACCTGACACCACCTACAACACCCGACACACACCTCTACAACACCCTGACACCATCTACAACACCCCACACCACTACAACACCCCTACAACACCTGACACCATCACAACACTCTGACACCATCTACAACACCCTGACACATCTACAACACCCAAACACTCTGACACCATCTACAACACCCTGAACACCTCTACAACACCTGATACCATCTACAACACCCACCTACAACACCCACAAGACACCATCTACAACACCCTGACACCATCTACAACACCTGACACCATCTACAACACCCTGAACACCATCTACAACACCTGACACCATCTACAACACCCTGACACCATCTACAACACTCTGACACCATCTACAACACCCTGACACCATCTACAACACCCTCCATCTACAACACCCTGACACCATCTACAACACCCTGACACCATCTACAACACCCTGACACCATCTACAACACCCTGACACCATCTACAACCTCCTGACACCATCTACAACACCCTGACACCATCTACAACACCCTGACACACCATCTACAACACTCTGACACCATCTACAACACCCTGACACCATCTACAACACCCTGACACCATCTACAACACCCGCCATTACAACCTCACAATCTACAACACCCTGACACCATCTACAACACCCCTGACACCATCTACAACACCCTGACACACCATCTACAACACCCTGACACCATCTACAACACCCTGACGCCATCTACAACACCCTGACACACCATCTACAACACCTGACACCATCACAACACCCTGACACCATCTACAACACCCTGACACCATCTACAACACCCTGACACCATCTACAACACCTGACACACTATCTACAACACCCTGACACCACCACAACACTCCCATCTACAACACCCTGACACCATCTACCCCTGACACCATCTACAACACCCTGACCCATCTACAACACTCTGACACCATCTACAACACCCTGACACCATCTCAACACCCCTCTACAACCCTGACACCATCTACAACACCCTGACACCCATCTACAACACCCTGACACCATCTACAACACTCTGACCATCTACAACACCCGCACCATCTACAACACCCTGACACCATCTACAACACCCTGACACCATCTACAACACCCTGACACACATCTACAACACCCTGACACATCTACAACACCCTGACACCATCTACAACACCTGACATCACAACACCTGACACCATCTACAACACCCCACACACCATCTACAACACCCTGACACCATCTCATACCCTGACACCATCTACAACACTCTGACACCATCTACAACCCTGACACACCATCTACAACACCCCATTTACAACACCTTGACACACCATCTACAACACCCTGACACACCATCTACAACACCCTGACACCATCTACAACACTCTGACACCATCTACAACACCTGACACCATCTACAACACCCTGACACACCATCTACAACACCCTGACACCATCTAAAAAACACCCTGACACCATCTACAACACCCTTGACACCATCTACAACACCCTGACACCATCTACAACACCCTGACACACCATCTACAACACCCTGACACCATCTACAACACCCTGACACACCATCTACAACACCCTGACACCATCTACAACACTCTGACACCATCTACAACACCCTGACACCATCTACAACACTCAAACACCATCACAAGAAGTATTTACTCACCACCTTCGGATAGTTAAAATCACTATTAAAAAATTCACTATTTTACAACGTTGTCCTGTTCACCATAACTCACTATACCATCACCATATCTGTTTATCTTGGTCACAATTACATACAAATGTCACTATAGTTTCAGAATCATAAAAAATATTTCTCAATTTTTTTTTTTAATTATTTTTTTTTCCTCACTAAGAGCTTGTGTGTTGGTGGTATAAGTGCCAGTCAGGGCATCAGTGCCACGGGGAGGGAGTAAATGGCACTGTCTGTTACTAACCCGGCACCGTGACACACTAACAAGGTATAGCCCTAACACACAGACAATCACTGCCGTCACCACCACTGCCTGACCCACCACTGCCTGACCCACTCACCCACTGCCCAAGCACAAGTATACACAGCTGGACACACATACACACCCACGTACACAAACGCACACATACCGGACATAGGCGATCATGTCACTTAACACACACATGGGATCAAGCACACAATGACATGCACACATACAGACACATACTGAGACACACACACATAATTTTACACACTAACCTACACACACACACACGTCTGATTGCCTAGGAACGATGATGATCAGTAATTACGCTCATCACCTGAAGATTAGCTCCCCACCAGCTTATATCACCTGAGCCTTTAACTAATGCTAACCTAACCTAACTTAACCTAACCTAGACTACTCTGTAGTTACCTGGCCCTTGAAATAACAGTTATCCTGGTGAATTAAGCGATAACTAATGTGTGTGTGTGTGTGTGAGAGAGAGAGAGAGAGAGAGAGAGAGAGAGAGAGAGAGAGAGAGAGAGAGCACTGCTCCTCTGATACAGCCAAGGTGAAAAAGTGCCACACTAAAATAATCCCAAATATGGCCAGGGATGAAGGAACAGTGCCTGATATCAATAATAACAATAATAACAATGATAATAATAATAATAATAATAATAATAATAATAATAATAATAATAATAATAATAATAATAATAACAACAGTAATAATCATAATATTAATAGTAGTAATAATAATAATAATAATAATAATAACAACAACAGTAATAATAATAATAACAGTAATAACAATCTACCCTTATCACTGTGGGTTTTAACATTGTATATGGGATGGGATGGGATGGGATGGGGTGGGATGGAGGGTGGGGTGGGGGTGGGGTGGGGGTGGGGTGAGGGGTGGGGTGGGGTGGGTGGGTGGGTGGGGTGGGGTGGGTGGGGTGGGTGGGATGGATGGGATGGGATGGGATGGATGGGGTGGGTGGGTGGGTGGTGGGTAAGGGTGGTGGGTGGGTGGGTGGGTGGGGTGGTGCATAACAAAATATACAAAAATTAGCTCAATAAATTATAAATATTAAGATAAATGTAGGAAACAAAAGAGAATTACAAGAGAAAAATGAATAAATGAGAAGAGATGAAAGAAAATAAGGTAATAAATAGAGGAATAATGAGAAAGGTGAATAAATAGAGATATGGAGGAAAAATAAAGAAGATGGGAATTAACAAGGAACGAATGAAGGGGATAAACAAGAGAGATAATAATAAAGAAGAAATGAGAGAATGTGAGAGAAACAAGGATGTAAAAATAAAGAAGAAGAAGAAGAAGAAGAAGAAGAGGGAAAGTATAAGACACAAGAAGAATCAATAATAAACAAAAAGATGGATGAAAATACGAGTAAAAATAAGAAAAAAATACACAAAGAAACGATGAGTAAGCGGACACACACACACACACACACACACACACACACACACACACACACACACACACACACACACACACACACACACACACACACACACACACACACACACACACACACACACACACACACCAAAGCCCAAGTGAATGAATGAATATGGTGAGAGACTGAATAGGATAGGGTGGGGGCACAGGGACCAAAAAAGGATGCCAAGGTGGATGAGGGAGGGAGAAGGTGAATGAGGGAGGGTGAAGGTGGATGAGGGAGGAGTGAACGAGAGAAGGGATGAAAGGGGAAGACTGAATACAGAGAGAGAGAGAGAGAGAGAGAGAGAGAGAGAGAGAGAGAGAGAGAGAGAGAGAGAGGGGGACTGTCTCACCATCATCATCACAGCAGTTGACAGAGATGATAGGAGGCATCACTGATACAGTAAGGAGCTGGTAATAGCAGTACGGAGGGCTTCATCCTGTAGCAGCTCTCAGCCTCCGACACTCTCCTACCTGTCCACCGCTCACACCTCACCTGGCGCCACGGACGTCAACAACACACCAGGTAATCAGACACCTGGCGCCACGGACGTCAACACACCAGGTAACTGTAAACACACCTGGCGCCACGGGATGCCCAACACACCAGGTAACTGTAACACACCAGGCGCCACGGACGTCAACACACCAGGTAACTGTAACACACCTGGCGCCACGGACGTCAACACACCAGGTAACTGTAACACACCTGGCGCCACGGACGTCAACACACCAGGTAACTGTAACACACCTGGCGCCACGGACGTCAACACACCAGGTAACTGTAACACACCTGGCGCCACGGACGTCAACACACCAGGTAACTGTAACACACCTGGCGCCACGGACGTCAACACACCAGGTAACTGTAACACACCTGGCGCCACGGACGTCAACACACCAGGTAACTGCACACACCTGGCGCCACGGACGTCAACAACACACCAGGTAACTGTAACACACCTGGCGATTCTTAAACCGTCAACACACCAGGTAACTGTAACACACCTGGCGCCACGGACGTCAACACACCAGGTAACTGTAACACACCTGGCACCACGGACGTCAACACACCAGGTAAGGTAACTGTAACACACCTGGCGCCACGGACGTCAACACACCAGGTAACTGTAACACACCTGGCGCCACGGACGTCAACACACCAGGTAACTGTAACACACCTGGCGCCACGGACGTCAACACACCAGGTAACTGTAACACACCTGGCGCCACGGACGTCAACACACCAGGTAACTGTAACACACCTGGCGCCACGGACGTCAACACACCAGGTAACTGTAACACACCTGGCGCCGCGGACGTCAACACACCAGGTAACACACCTGGCGCCACGGACGTCAACACACCAGGTAACTGTAACACACCTGGCGCCACGGACGTCAACACACCAGGTAACTGTAACACACCTGGCGCCACGGACGTCAACACACCAGGTAACTGTAACACACCTGGCGCCACGGACGTCAACACACCAGGTAACTGTAACACACCTGGCGCCACGGACGTCAACACACCAGGTAACTGTAACACCTGTGGCTATTACCTTTTAACACCAGACAGAGTTAACGAACATAACACACCTGAGCTATATATATGCCAGGTAACACCATCAAGGGACACACCTGACACCAAATAACACATATCAACACACACCCTTCCACACCACGGATCACACTGACACATCTTTTCAGCTGACGCCAACGCAGAATCAACAAGAGCTGACGGAGACACCACACAACAGCTGACACTTCTGTAAACACTTGGCACTCACTGTTTACACGTCACTATCAGCCAATCACAGGCAGCCATGAACGAATGACTCACTGTTTACACGTCACTATCAGCCAATCACAGGCAGCCATGAACGAATGACTCACTGTTTACACGTCACTATCAGCCAATCACAAACAGCCATGAACAGGCCAATGACTCGCTGTTTACGTCACTATCAATGATACGGGCAGCCATGAACGAATGACTCACTGTTTACACGTCACTATCAGCCAATCACAAACAGCCATACTTGTAACTCTCAGCCAATAGGAATCACGGCGCTAAAGGTGTAAATACTGAACTACTCTGCAAGATTCATGCATGTGTGTGTGTGTGTGTGTGTGTGTGTGTGTGTGTGTGTGCGCGTGCGTGTGTGTGTGTGTGTGTGTGTTTACAGTCACACTATATTATTACATAGCCTTTAAAGACTGGATTAATTACTACAGGTAAAATAAATGACATATACTTTAAAAAATAATAATTAATAGAGGACATTAATTAGCGTGTATGAGAATCACCATTAATCATTACTAATCGTCATTACCAGTCACCATAACCAGTCACCAATCACCATCGATAACTAACAATCACCATCAACACACTACATAATCACCATCACCCACTACCAATCACCATCACCAGCCACCGAGCGTGACCACCTGAGCCACCAATAATTAGAGGAGAGAGAGAGAGAGAGAGAGAGAGAGAGAGAGAGTAGGTAAATTAAGTGGGGAGAGGGAGGGATGGAGAGAAAGAAGAGTAAATGTGATTAGTAAGATAGAAGGAAGGAAGGAAGGAAGGAGAGAAGAAAGGTAGGGGAAGGAGGGAAGGGGAAGGTAGAAGTGGGAGATACAGATGAAGGAAGGAAGAAGGAAGGAAGGAGGAGGAGGGAGGGAGGAGGGAGGTGTAGTAAGGAATGTAGGAAAAGGCGAGGAGGGTAGGGGAAAGTTGGGAGGAGCACTATTGAGGGAGGAGGGGTATTGAGGGAGGGGGTGTGAGAGGAGGGAGGGTGTGTGAAGGGGAGGGAAGGTCATTGTAGGAGAGGGAAGAGGAACTGTATGAGGGGAGGTGTTTGGGAGATTGTAGAGGAGGGGGGAGAAAATAGGAAGGGGGGGAGGGACTGTGTAAGGGGGGAGGAGGAGGACCCCACACTACACTACCTTACCCCTCCACTTCACACACAACACATCACACCACATCACATCACACCATTCCCGTATCGCCTCACCACACTACACACATTCCTCTCTCTCTCTCTCTCTCTCTCTCTCTCTCTCTCTCTCCACGGACTGATCACGGACTGGCTGATCACTTATACGCACTGTAATTTAAAAGTTATTTCCTAAATAAAAACGAATTGTCTGTTCCCAAGCCAACTGTTTCGAAGCCAGGTGTTCCCAAGCCAACTGTTTCGAAGCCAGGTGTTCCCAAGCTAGCTGTTTCGAAGCCAGGTGTTCCCAAGCTAGCTGTTTCTATGTCAGCTGTTTCCATGCCAGGTGTTCAGTGACAAGATAAACTTTGAGCTGTGCGTCGTAATCTGGAAGTAGGTCACATCTCGCCCCATCAGGTGCGTCAGTGGACCTCTCGACGCCCACATCCTCAACACTCGAGTGAACAAGTTGTAAATATACCATATGTTTGTTTACACAGTTTGCAAATGATTTCATATCACTGGTGTTTACAGTTACACGTTAGTTGTGTTTACACTTGTGTCAATATGTAAACAGCACGTTAACTTCTCCTGTAGTGTTATAATGTTGCAGCCAGGACATATGTACAGTACACACCGACAGTGCCAGTGTACACCAGAGCGTAACGACAGTGCCAGATGTACACTAGCGAGAGGCACCCTGTACATGTATCACGTACAGGAACGAGGCGCGTCATGTACTCAGTGAACAACAGCGTGAGATGATCGACAGCTTACACACACACACACACACACACACACACACACACACACACACACACACACACACACCGGGAGACTAAGACACGTGTTGCTGGTGGCGGCGACACACACCAAGTGGCCCTCGTCACCCCCGCCACACAAGAGCTGACCCTGATGGCTAATTAAGGAGAAAGACATGGCACTTTCTGAATGGAAGTGCCACACAAGCAGACTAGTTGGCACCTTACCCACCCCCACCCCCCCTGCCCTCTGTCTCTCGTCCGGCCCTCAGTTGTCAACGAATTGCATAACAAATCATTTCCTCGTTGACAAAACTGAACTGACAGCCGCCACCACCCGCCATGACATAACTCCACAACACCATCAGGTAGTCATCACCCATGGCAACATTCACCATCACTCATGGCAACTCATTCACCGTCACTCATGGCAACACACCGTCACTCATGGCAACTCACCATCACTCATGGCAGCTCACCATCACTCATGGCAGCTCACCATCACTCATGACAGCTCACCATCACTCCATGGCAACTCACCATCACCATGGCAGCTCACCATCATTCATGGCAACTCACCATCACTCATGGCAGCTCACCATCACTCATGACAGCTCACCATCATTCATGGCAACTCACCATTACTCATGGCAGCTCACCATCACTCATGACAGCTCACCATCACTCATGGCAGCTCACCATCATTCATGCAACTCACCATCACTCATGGCAGCTCACCACTCATGACAGCTCACCATCACTCATGCAGCTCACCATCACTCATGGCAGCTCACCATCACTCATGGCAGGCAGCCATCACTCATGACAGCTCACCATCACTCATGACAGCTCATCACTCATGGCAGCTCACCATCATTCATGGCAACTCACCATCACTCATGGCAGCTCACCATCACTCATGACAGCTCACCATCATTCATGGCAACTCACCATCACTCATGGCAGCTCACCATCATTCATGGCAACTCCACCATCACTCACAGCTCACCATCACTCATGACAGCTCACCATCACTCATGGCAGCTCACCATCATTCATGGCAACTCACCATCACTCATGGCAGCTCACCATCACTCATGACAGCTCACCATCACTCATGGCAGCTCACCATCATTCATGGCAACTCACCATCTCATGACAACTCACCATCACTCATGGCAGCTCACCATCACCATGGCAGCTCACCATCACCATCAGCATCAGCTCACCATCACTCATGGCAGCTCACCATCACTTATGGCAGCTCACCATCACATGACAACTCACCATCACTCATGGCAGCTCACCACCACCATGGCAGCTCACCATCACCATGGCAGCTCACCATCACTCATGGCAGCTCACCATCACTCATGGCAGCTCACCATCACCATGGCAGCTCACCATCATTCATGGCAACTCACCATCACTCATGGCAGCTCACTCATGGCAGCTCACCATCACCTCACCATCACTCATGGCAGCTCACCATCACTCACATGGCTCACCATCACCATGGCAACTCATCACCATGGCAGCTCACCATCACTCATGGCAACTCACCATCACCATGGCCATCACTCATGGCACTCACCATCACATGACAACTCACCATCAATCATGGCAACTCACCATCACTCATGGCAGCTCACCATCACTCATGGCAACTCACCATCACTCATGGCAGCTCACCATCACCATGCAGCTCACCATCACTCATGGGCAGCATCACTCAGCTCAAGTGCAGTCAACCATCACCATGGCAGCTCACCATCACTCATGGCAGCTCACCATCACCATGCAGCATCACATTCATGGCAGCATCACTCATCACTCATCACTCACCATGGCAAACTCACCCATCACTCATGGCAGCTCACCATCAGCATGGCAACTCACCATCACTCATGGCAACTCACCATCACTCATGGCAGCTCACCATCACTCATGACAACTCACCATCAATCATGGCAACTCACCATCACTCATGGCAGCTCATGGCAACTCACCATCACTCATGGCAGCTCACCATCACTCATGGCAGCTCACCATCACTCATGGCAGCTCACCATCACCATGACAGCTCACCATCACTCATGGCAGCTCACCATCACTCATGGCAACTCACCATCACTCATGGCAACTCACCATCACTCATGGCAGCTCACCATCACTCATGGCAGCTCACCATCACTCATGACAGCTCACCATCACTCATGGCAGCTCACCATCACTCATGGCAGCTCACCACAACACAACAAAATTGGTAGTAATCTTGACTGCGTGTGCTTAACTTGGTAAAACATTTGGCACTTGCTCCAGCCATCTGCACCACACACATACACACACACACACACACACACACTGCGCTGTGTTGTAATCTTTCCCTACTGCATCACGCCCTTCCATCCCCCTCCCACCATCTGCCCTCCCTCCTTCTCTAGCCGCCCAGCTGTTAGGAGGAGCGACCCCATTACTCCATTAACTATCATTTAAGTCGACCACAATGGGTAGGGTCAAGGTGGACGTAACAGTGAGTCACCTCCCTCTGCCCTACAGCCACTGGGTTACCTGGCCAGTGTTTACGTCCCATAGGTGTTGTTGGTCACGTGGGTCTACATGGATCACCTCAAGATTAGCCCCCACTTTAATCCTACCCCTAACGTAACCTAACCTAACCTAACCTAACCTAACCTAACCTAACCTAACCTAACCTAACCTAATTCTAACCTAACATAAACCAATCTAACCCTAACCTAATTTATAAGCTGAATCTAATTTATGTCTAAACTAACGCGACCTTAACACTAGCCCATGTCTAACCTAACCTAACCTAACCTTACCTAACCTAACCTAACCTAACTAAGCTTAACTAATCCTAACCTAACCTAACTTATGTCTAACCTAACTTTGCCAGGATGGAGTAGGTAAGTGGATGGGGGAAGTGGGTGCCGTGGGTGGGTGCCGTGGGTGGGTGCCGTGGGTGGGTGACGTGGGTGGGTGGCGTGGAATTGGAGTGCCGCGGGTGGGTACCGCCCGGGTGGGTGACGATGGGTGGGTGCGTCGCAAAATACCGTGTGTTGGCCCGTAATGACGCGTATTGTGTGTGTGTGGCCTTCCCTTAACACACTAGACTAGGCAGAAGGAGCAGAGTTGAGATGTTTTTCAACCACCGCCAACCATACGACCCACTGACCAACCATACAACCAACCACACTGACATCAAACTAACCATCCAGCCAAGTCACCAACCAATCAACCAGCGAGGCAACCAAACAATCTGGACACGATCCTCTCGGTAAAAGCAGAAGGCTGGGAAACTACAGTATGTGCACCGTGTGGAAGGAAGGAAGGAAGGAAGGAAGGAAGGAAGGAAGGAAAACCCTTTAAAATAACAATGATGCATGAAATCAGTCATGGGCGAGAGAGAGAGAGAGAGAGAGAGAGAGAGAGAGAGAGAGAGAGAGAGAGAGAGAGAGAGAGAGAGAGAGAGAGAGAAAAAAGAAGGAACTTTCATTAGGGGGAATGTGTGCGGGTGGGAGTGTGGGGTGGGGAGTGGGGTGAGGTGCTAGGGTGAGGAGGTGTAGGGTGGGAGGGGCAAGGGTGGGGTGGGGAGGGAGTAGGGTGGGGTGGGGAGGGGCCAAGGGTGGGGGAGGGATGGGAGTGGGGAGGGGGTAGGGGTGGGGTGGAACTCAATGTCCCCTCACAGTGGCATGGCTGGACTAAAATCTCTCCCCCCTCCCTTCCTCATGACCTCTGGCCCACCTCCCCACCCCCTTCCTCACTTCACTCGGTAGTTCTTGACAATGTGAAAAATCTTATGGAATGATGTTATTACGAGTATTTTGAGTGTGGGGTTAATATTATTATTGTTATTAGTAGTAGTCGTAGTAGTCGTAGTCGTAGTAGTCGTAGTAGTCGTAGTCGTAGTAGTAGTAGTAAAAATATTATCATTCTTATCATTATTTTTATCATCATCATCATCATTATCATCACTATCACCAGTAGTGTTTGTAATTATCAAAGGCAGAAATCTAGGTCCACTTCCATCATGGCGGCCATAACGTTATGAAAAAAAGTACGAACCTAACCTAACCTAACCAAACCAAAGCTAACCAAACCAAAGCTAACCTAACCTAACCAAACCAAAGCTAACCTAACCTAACCAAACCAAAGCTAACCTAACCTAACCAAACCAAAGCTAACCTAACCTAAACTAATCTAACCTAACCAAAGCTAACCTAACCATGACCTAATCTAACCTAACCATGAACCTAATCTAACCTAACGAAACCAAAGCTAACCTAACGAAACCAAAGCTAACCTAACCAAAACAAAGCTAACCTAACCAAAACAAAACTAGCCTAACCAAACCTAACAAACCAAAGCTAACCAAACCAAAGCTAACCTCACCAAAGCTAACCTAACCAAACCAAAGCTAACCTCACCAAAGCTAACCTAACCAAACCAAACCCTCCCAACCACGTCTAGAGAGGATATTCAACAGGTTTCTCAGCCAGGAGGAGGCGGGCGTCTGGTCCAGCTGCCACACCCACCACCACCACCCACCCAAGGGAGACCGGGCCTAGGGTGTGTGCGTGTAACTGCGCATCACATATATGACTAAAAGCGCGCGCGCACACACACACACACACACACACACACACACACACACACACACACACACACACACACAGACTCACACACACACACGGACTCACACACACACACACACACACACACACACACACACACACACACACACACACACACACACACACACACACACACACACACACACACACACACACACACACACACACACACACACACACACACTTCCTCCTCCTCTTCTGCACTATTTACACCACTACGACACAC